CACAAACACACAGACACACACACACCGAGACACACAGACACTCACACAGACACACACCGAGACACACACAGCCACACACACACACACACACACCGAGACACACAGACACTCACACAGACACATACCGAGACACATACAGACACACAGACACACACACACCGAGACACACAGACACTCACACAGACACATACCGAGACACACACACACACACACACACACACACACACACCGAGACACACAGACACTCACAGACCCTCACACACTGAGACACACACAGACACTGAGACACACATACACACACACCGAGACACACAGACACTCACACAGACACACACACACACCGAGACACACTCACACAGACACTCACTGAGACACACAGATACACAGATACACTCACACAGACACACACACACACACTGAGACACATGGACACTCACACACTGAGACACTCACATAGACACTCACACAGACACATTCACACATACACATACTCACACATCGAGATACACAGACACACACTGAGACACTCACAGAGACACTCACACAGATACACTCACACAGACACACACACACACTGAGACACACACACACCTGGAGACACACACTCACACAGACACACACACACACACACACTGAGACACACACACACCTGGAGACACACACTCACACAGACACACACACATACACTCACACACTGAGACACTCACACACACAGACACTCACACAGACACACTCACACAGACACACTCACACAGACACACTCACACACACACACCAGGAGACACACACTCACACAGACACACACTCACACACACATACACACACACACTGAGACACACACACAGAAGGTGGCCTCCTGCCAGCGGGAAGAGGCTCCCCCGAGGCAGACCCTGCAGAGCCTGACCTTGGCCTCCGGCCGCCGGCGGGAGGGGGCTGTGTGGCCCCGGTGAGGGCGGCTCCAGGGCGCCACGCCACCGAGATGGCACCTACTCAGGAGGCACCTCCCCGTTATGTTCCTCCTCTGGCCAGCGTGCTAGCAGACTGTTTGCTTTTACAAAACCCTGCCCCCTCACCTGTGCTGTGACCCCGCCCGTCATGGGCCAGACAGACACTCACACAGACACATACTGAGACACAGACACACACACTGAGACACAGACACTCACACACTGAGACACACCTGTGCTGCGGGCCATCTACCCCTCTGCACGCCTGCGGAAGGTGCCTCAGGCTGGGCAGGGGCCACCGAGGGCAGGAGCGACCGGCGCAGGACACGCCGTCCCTGGTGTCTGCGGGGACTGGAGGCGCTGGCGTGGGGGCAGCCGGACCTGCTGTAAGTCTGCGAGGAGGCATCTCGGAGAGGTCCGGGCCCCGTGGGGACCCTGCCGAAGGGGCAGCCCCGGCCTCGACTTCCCCAGAGAAGCCCGAGCCCGGAGCTTGGCTGGAATCGGTTAGACTTCCGAAGGCCCTCGTGAACACTGCGGCCGGTGCTCTCGGGGATGGCGTCCGAGGTTCACGTTCCAGCTGCCGCCCGTGAGGCCGAGGGAGGCAGACGGCCCCTTAGCCTCTCACAGGACGTGTCCGTCGCATTCCCGTCGTTCGGGGTCTGCAGGCAGTCTGCTCACGGGCTTTCTCGGGCCCGTGGCTGCTCGGCGGCGGGGGAGGAGCGATGGGGACCCGGAGTCTTGTCCTGGGGCTGAGGGGTCAGAGGGCTGCGCTTCTGCAGGTCACAGAGCCAGGGACACACAGAGCCCGAGCGCCCAGCGGCTCCTGGTTCACTCCCAGGCTGGCTGAGGGTCCGGCAGCCAGACCTGGGCCAGAACACAGCCCTGTGGCCGCCCCCGGCCCCACACACACACTCCCCGGCAGAAGACAGACAGCGGAGAAACCAGGCCATTTCGGGATCCGAGTCCCCGCTTCCCACTTACTCCCCAGGTCAAGGTATTGGATCTGAAGCCTCAGTTTCCCCATCCGTAAAATGGAGACAAGCCTTGTTCACGGAGTCGGGGTGTCTCACAAAGGGGACCACAGCCCCACCAACGTGGCTCCGTGGTTGAGTACTGACCTATGACCCCATCAGGGAACAGGCCCGGGTTGCAGGCTCTATCTCCAGTGGGGGGCTGGCAGGAGGCAGCCGGTCAGTGATTCCCATCACTGATGTTTGTCTTTCTCCCCCTCTCCTTTCCGCTCTGACATCCATAAAAACGTATTTTTTAAAAGGAGACACAGAGCTGAGCCCCCCGAGGCTGCTGGCTCCCCACCAGGGGCAATGCAGGGGCCGCACTGCTGTGGCCGCCAGGGCGAGCCGGCAGGTTCGGTGGAGGCGGCAGCGGACTGGCCTCGAGGCGAGTTTTCAGTCCTTTGTGGATTGGAACGTTAACCAGTCAGACCCCTCCTCCTCGGGGTCATCACAGCCCGACCCCACCCTCCCGCCCCCAGGCCCCCGGCCCCCCTCCAGGGCTGGGACACACACACAGACACACACACAGACACACACACAGCAGACGTGTCGTGGCTCCAGGTCTTTATTAGAAGGAACAGAGTGGCTGCGGCCTGTCTGACAGGCGTGTGCGGTGTGGCCGGTCAGGGTTCTCGGGCGACGCGGGGCGCGGGTGCAGAGGGAGGAGGCCCCTCGGGGTCCCCCCCAGGGAGAAGGCACTGGCTGGGGTGACACCGCTGCTTCCGGAGAAGGCTGGGCTATGTATACACAGGCTGACCGGGCGGGTGCAGAGGACTCAGAGCTACATACAGCTAATGGGGTGGGGGTGGGGGTGGGGGTGGGGGTGGGGCTGCACCGCCCCCCCCCCCGCCCCCCGCGGAAAGGGGGCTCGGAAAGAAGGCAGAGCGTACAGCAGACGCAGAACCCAGCCTCTCAGTCTTAGTGTTTTGTGCAATTAACAACAACAGCAAAATAAATATAACTTACAACTTCTTACACGGCTCTCAAGGCAAATCCGGGCTGAGCAGAGGGGAAAACCTTCCTGAAGGCCAAGCAGTAGGAACCCCAATAATGCGGGGGCGGGGCAGGCCGGGCGAGGGGACGCTCACCCGGCGCCTGCGTGGCCAGGCCCCGGGCCGGCCTGGACCGGCCTGGGTGGGAAGGCCCTTCAGACAGGCCGGGCGCGCCGCTGGGAAATCCACTCCCGGGTCCGGGGAAGGAGGTGGGAGGTCAAAGGGGAAAGGGCGAGAAGGGAGCACACAGTGAGTGCAGACCCCGCCCCGAAGGAAGAGCCTTAAACAGATGCTCCTTCTGAAGCTAAAGTGCTGGCTGGGGGGGGGAGGGGGGGAGGAGCGGGCCCAGGTGCCTGTCCAGAGCGGGGATCTGCAGACAGCGATACCCTCCCGGACAGGCCTCCGCCGCCAGCTCACAGCCAGGCCCCGGGGTGACCCCGTGAGGCCATTCCCCGGCGGCCCCGGCCCAGGCCCCAGGCCCCCGGCCCCCGGCCCAGGCCCCCGGCCCCCGGCCCAGGCCCGCAGCCCACGTGGCTCAGCCTCCAGGTCACGTGCCCTCACAGGCTGGGGGTGGGGGAGAGCAGGTGGGCCCACACCGGAGTCCTCCACTGTCTGAACAAGAGCCAGGAAGTTGAAAAGTGATTTCCTTTCTAAAATCTACATCCCACCCTCCACCCCATAGGCTGTCCCTAAGCCAGGCGAACGGGGAGCTGCCATGTGGGCGAGCGGGAGCCCCCCTCCGACTGGCCCCCCCAGGTACACACACCTGGACTCATGGTCTCCGAGGGCAGCCGGCCCAGGGGCTGCCTGCCCGGCCCCCAACTCTCCTCCCACAACAAGAGGGCCCGGCTCCACAGGCAGGCTCCGCGGAGTCTGCCTCCAACGCCACGCAGGGTCACGTCCTTCTCGCTCGGGGACACACACTCACTCGCGTACACTTAGGACCAGGCTCCCAACGGGCGCCCACAGCCGTCAGCACCCAGACTCCAGGGAGAGGCGGGCACATTGGCCGGTGCCCGAAGCTGCCCGCACACGGGAAGCACAGGCCCAGCCCGTCGGGACTAGGATAGTTTCAGGGAAAACAGGTGCAGGCGCCGGCTTCCTGCTGCTCCCGCCTGCCAGGGCGGCCTGGAGCCCTTCTTGGCCTGCAGGGGCTCCGGGGGCTCAGGAAGGAACCCCAGTGTGCAGGCAGGGCCCAGAGAGCCCGAGAGGCGGGAACAGAGGGGCGGCGTGCCCTCTGAGGTCTCTCCCCGGGGGCTGCCTGGCCCTGGCCGTCCCGGCACCCTGGCGGCCACACAGGCGAGGGGGCGGTGGAGGCACAGGCGGCTCTGGATGGGCAGCCCCGGAGCTCCGAGTTCCTGGGCGGGAATCGCAGATGGGAGAAGAGCCTGCTCCTGGCTCCCGGCCTCACAGACGGCAGAGACCATGAGGCCTCACGTGCCCTGGACCCGGCTGTCATCGGGGGGCGCTCTCCTCAGGGCTGACATGGGGTTCGGTGCCCCAACAAGAAGGAAGCGGGACCAGGCACCGCTGACACGGGGCTCTTGCATAAGGTGGCCAGACAAAAATCGCGACTCTCTTTTTAAAACGCCGTGGGATAAAACTTAAACATCGGGACTGTCCCGCCCAAAGTGGGACGTCCGGTCGCCTTACTCTTACAGCCCAGCAGGGCGGGAGGATGTGTCAGAGATGGTCTGTGCGGAGCCGCGGCACGAATGGCGCCGGCCACCAGGGGGCAGCAAGCGCCCGCAGGTCTCCCGCCCAGAGGCCTGGCACCCGAGGGCCACCTGGGCCTCCAGGCAAATGGAGGCCCACTGGACCTCCCTCCGGACCTCCCTCGCTCCCCGTGGGCAGCGGGCGGCCGGGCCTGGCGCGGGCACTGCGCTTCCAGAAGGAGACCCTGCAGCAAAGCCCCTCAGCAGGAGGAGGAGGAGAGAGCCCACAAAGTGTCCTGTAGTGCAGTTGGGAGGGTCCTGGCCGCGCCCGCGGACGTGAAGGAAACCCAGAGGCGGCGGGGGGGGGGGGGGGGGGGGGCGGGGGGCCGCGGCTCAGGCCTCGGGGGCGCTGGGGCCCGGGCACATCTCGCTGAGGATGCCGATGAGGTTGTTGAGGCCGGAGAGGTAGCCGTCCTCGCGGTTCCCCTCCTGCCAGGGCACGTCGTGCTGCAGCGTCTGGCCCTCGGGCAGGGGCGTGGTCTTCCCGAAGTCGATCATCCACACCTTGGCCTGCTCCTTCTTGTCGTGGATGAAGAGGAGCGAGCTGCCGATGACCTGCAGGGGCGCGGAGGTGAGGGCGCGCAGCCGCAGGCCGCCCGCCGCCCCTCCCGCTGCACCCTGGCTCCCGGGGCCCCGGGCGGGACTGGAGGCCGCGAGCGGAGAGGACGCGGGTCCAGAGCAGCAGCCATCGTGCGGCAGCGGCAGGAGAGGTCCCCATGGAGGATCCCCCGCCCCCCCCCCCCCCCGCTCCAGCCTGCACCCTCCCCAGTTTCAGACCACGGCTAAGACTTGGGGCTCCCCCTTCTCCTCCTAGCCCTTGCCTCTCTGCACAGGGGTCCGGGGTGACAGGGGTCACTCGGCTATTCCAGCAGCTCAGAGAGCTTCTGCCCCGAGACCCTCCAGATGCACACACACCCCCAGGGGGCCGGCAGTGAGGCCGATCACCCCCATCCCAGCAGGAACCCTTGCTCGTCCCGGGCAGAGGCCTCGGGGTGTCTGAGGCTGTGGTTCCGCTGGGGGCAGGTCAGGGCGACGGCACGGGAAGTGCGTTCCCAGACAGCAGCAGCCACAATCCCTCACTGCGTCCCCCCCGTGGGGCAAGGAGCTTGGGGTGCAGGGGGGCTGGGCCTCCAGGCAGGGCAGGGAAGACCCCGGAAATGCCAGCCCAGAGCAAGGCCTTCTTCCTGGTGAGAAACAGCAGAACCTCGGGTCCTGTTTCCTGGGAGACGGGTGAAGAGCAGGGACACAAACTCCAGGGAGTAACGCAACGGCACGGAGAGCAAAGGGCAAAGCGGGAGGCAGAGGCCTCGGGGCTGCCTCTGGGGCCCTGTCCCCGGAGGAGCAGGCAGGACGGAGTGAGGGGGGCCCAGCGCTGAGCCAAGACTGGCACCAGCCAGGAAGACGGAGGCCCAGGAGCAGCCGGGGACCCAGCATAGCTGGGCTTCAGCGAGGCTGCGGGAGGCAAGGCACCCGAGAACCAGAGGCTGCAGCTGTGTGTGCACACGTGCGCGTGTGCAGCTGTGTGTGCACGTGTTTGTCCATGCACGCACACATGTGGGGCTGGGGACCTGGATGCCCATACAAACCCTCCAGCAGAGGGACCTGCTGACAGCTTCCAAACCCCCCCTCAGGCGCCTGGTTTCCGGCCTGCTCCCTGCGGACGGGCAGGGCAGGGGGCCCTGCGGGTAGGGGGTACGGCTCCTGGCTGTTTGGCAGCTCCGAGAGCTTCTGCCCGGACCCTCGGGCGAGTGGATGGAAGTCCAGCCTCAGCACCCGAGTGGCCGGAGGGAGCCTGGCCTCAGGCAGGCAGCCGAGGGGCCACCCTGTCACCCGGACTCGCCATCGGCTCGGGGGCAGGCAGGTCTGCTGGCGGAGAGCCCCACACCCACCTCGTGGCCCCGGAAGAAGGGGGACACCTCCAGGGTGGCCCGGATGTCCTTCAGCCGGTCCCGGTAGGCGATCTGGGGAGAGAAAGGGGGCAGGATTTGAGCACTCGGGGCTGGGCTGGGTTTTCAGCCCCATCAAGGTCCTTGCGTGTCAGGGGAAGGACACGCAGGTCATGTGAGCAACTGAGGCCCAGAGCAGACGGGGCGGGGGGCAGGCTCCTGGCCGTGCTTCCCAGGCGCTCACACGGCTTAAGGCACCAGAAGGCAGCTCAGAGGCGGCAGCATCCTGGGAGCCCGTTGCCATGGCGTCTCCGACTTCTGAAAGGGCAGAGCGGGCCGAGAGCCACACGTCTCCCTCCAGGAGCCGGACAAACAGGCCGACCGTGTGGCCGGGATGCTGCCTCCCCGGGACCCAGGGAGCCACCACAGGCGCACAGGCCTCAGTGCCAGGCAGGCCGCCGGCTCGGACCCGGCACAGCCCTCCCTTGGGCTTGGGAAGCAGCTCTGAGCTGCCGTGCTGAGGAACGGTGATCCAGCACCCAGCGCCTCGGGCCTGCAGGGGGTGGGCCCTGTGGCTGGAGCTGGGCCCTCAGGGGTCAAGGGAAGTCTCCCCGGGGGAGGGAAGGGAGCAAGCGGCCGTCTCCTTGGAGAAAAGATGTCTGCCCACCCTCCCTGCTCTGCAGCCTCAGTGCCCAGCCGTGTGCCTGCGTGTCCGGCTGTCACAGGCTCCCAGCCATGTGCCTGTGTGTCACTGTCACAGGCTCCCAACCCGTGTGCCTGCATGTCTGCTGTCACAGGCTCCCAGCCCCTGCGTGTCCGCTGTCACAGGCTCCCAGCCGTGTGCCTACGTGTCTGACTGTCACAGGCTCCCAGCCGTGTGCCTGCGTGTCCGACTGTCACAGGCTCCCAGCCCGGTGCCTGCGTGTCCAACTGTCATAGGCTCCCAGCCCCTGCGTGTCCGCTGTCACAGGCTCCCAGCCGTGTGCCTACGTGTCTGACTGTCACAGGCTCCCAGCCGTGTGCCTGCGTGTCCGACTGTCGCAGGCTCCCAGCCCGTGTGCCTGCATGTCACTATCACAGGCTCCCAGCCTCCGCGTGTCCAACTGTCACAGGCTCCCAACCCGTGTGCCTGCATGTCCGGCTGTCACAGGCTCCCAGCCCCTACGGGTCCGACTGTCACAGGCTCCCAGCCCCTACGTGTCTGACTGTCACAGGCTCCCAGCCCCTACGTGTCCGACTGTCACAGGCTCCCAGCCCGTACGTGTCCGACTGTCACAGGCTCCCAGCCCCTGCATGTCCGACTGTCACAGGCTCCCAGCCCCGCGTGTCCGGCTGTCACAGGCTCCCGACCCGTGTGCCTGTGTGTCCGGCTGTCACAGGCTCCCAGCCCCTGCGTGTCCGGCTGTCACAGGCTCCCAGTCCCCGCGTGTCCGGCTGTCACAGGCTCCCAACCCGTGTGCCTGCGTGTCCAGCTGTCACAGGCTTCCAATCCGTGTGCCTGTGTGTCCGGCTGTCACAGGCTCCCAGCCCCTACGTGTCCGACTGTCACAGGCTCCCAGCCCGTGTGCCTGCGTGTCCGACTGTCACAGGCTCCCAGCACCTGCGTGTCCGACTGTCACAGGCTCCCAGCCCCTGCGTGTCCGCTGTCACAGGCTCCCAGCCGTGTGCCTGCGTGTCCAACTGTCGCAGGCTCCCAGCCCGTGTGCCTGTGTGTCACTGTCACAGGCTCCCAGCCTCCGCGTGTCCAACTGTCACAGGCTCCCAACCCGTGTGCCTGCGTGTCCGGCTGTCACAGGCTCCCAGCCCCTACGTGTCCGACTGTCACAGGCTCCCAGCCCCTGCGTGTCCGACTGTCACAGGCTCCCAGCTCGGGGGTGCAGAGGCATGATACCCTGCTTTGGAGGGGAGCTCGGGGTTCTGATCCCCGTGGTCAGAGCACACGTCAAGGAAGTCATTATGTCATGAGGTTGTCACCTGCACTTCCTGGCTCCAGAAAGCCGGTGAGCTCTTCCCGGGGAGGGACTGTGACACACACACACACACACACACACACACACACACACCCCCCGCCCCACTTCCCTCGCTCAGCCTCAGCCTGGGAGACTGCGTGCAGGGCCAGCCCCTGGTGAGTCCCAGCTCCGCCCTGTCCCAGCCGTGTGGCCTTGACCTGTTTCCTCGTCTGTGGGATGGGGACAAGGACGTCCACCAGCCCCAGGGGCTGCCACGAGGGGCGAGGCCGGGCAGAGCTGGGCGGCAGCGGCTGCTAAGGAGCACCTTAGAGGGAGGATGGCCTTAGAGGGAGGAGCACCTTAGAGGGAGGATGGCCTTAGAGGGAGGAGCACCTTAGAGGGAGGATGGCCTTAGAGGGAGGACGCGGCTGGGAGCATGAGGGCAGGAGGGGCTGAGCGCTCCAGCTCCCCACCTGCCCGCAGGACGGCTGGCACCGCCCGGCCTTCCTGGCGTCCCGCACACGCCCTCGGTGCCACCGGGCAGGCCGGCCGGGCTCCATCCCGCAGTTGTGGCCGGGCTGTGCGGGCGCCGTGGCTGCTGCCGTGGCCGCTCCGACCCTGCAGACCGGGCACCAGCCTGCCCAGCGCCCGCCCGCCCCCGGGGCCCACTCACCAGGATGTTGGGGTTGCCCTTGGTGAACTCCCGGAAGGCCTCGGTGACCTGCTCCCGCGTCTTCGTCTTCTTGAAGTCCCGGTTCACCGAGCCGTCTTCTTTCTGGGGGGGTGAGGGGGGGGGGGGCGGGGGGGTCAGCAGGGCGGGCGACGCCGGGTCTGAGAAAGCTGCTCCGCCAGGCGGCCCCGGGCAGCACGGGGCCACACGCTGGTGCCCACAGCCTGGCACAGGCGGCCCCGGGCAGGGCGGGGCCACACGGCTGGTGCCCACAGCCTGGCACAGGCGGCCCCGGGCAGCGCGGGGCCACACGGTTGCTGCCCACAGCCTGGCACAGGTGGTCCCGGGTGGCACAGCAGGGCTGTGTCTGGGCCCCGGAGGGTGGCCAGCGAGAGGGAGGGCACAGGAGGCTCCGAGGAGGGGCCGTGTGGGCGAGAATGTCGGGGTGCGGGGGGGACAGCGGGGCTGAGGGAGGTGGACAGGCCTCGGTGCCCGTCCGGCCTGGCCCCGTGCCCAGCGCCAGGAGGTCCCTGTGGCCCAGAGCGCCCCCTCCCCCGACAGGAGAGCGGGATCCGCCCTAAGCCGCTCCGTTCCTCCTGGACTTCCGGGCCTTCACTGGGGCCCCGGAGCCCCGAGCCACCCTGCCCGCCACCTCCACCTCTCCGTGCCCGCCCCTCCGTGCCCACCTCCATGCCTGGAGCCACCCTGCCCGCCACCTCCACCTCTCCGTGCCCGCCCCTCCGTGACCACCTTTATGCCTGAAGTCACCCTGCCACCTCCGTGCCCACCCCCCAGTCCCAAGTCACCCTGCCCACCACTTCCACCTCCATGCCTGCCACCTCCATGCCCACCTCCTCCGTGCCTGCCCCTCCGTGCCCATCACATCCGTGCCCACCTTCATGCCTGGAGTCACTCTGCCTGCCCCCTGCCACCTCCGTACCTACCCCCAGCCCCGAGTCACCCTGCCCGCCACTTCCGTGCCCGTCACCTCCGTGCCCATCTCCCCACCCCCGGAGTCACCCTGCCTGCCCCCTGCCATTTCTGTGCCCGCCACCTCCGTGCCCACTTCCTCACCCCAAGTCACCCTGCCGGCTACGTCTGTGCCCACCACCTCCGTGCCCCCCTCCCAGCAGGTGAGGTGACAGAGGGAAGAGTGAACAGACACCAGGAGCCCCGCAGGGACCCCCTCCGCTCCCGGGCTGGCGCCCCGCAGCCCTGCTGTGTGTGTGTGTGTGTGTGTGTGTGTGTGTCTGTGTGTGTGTGTGTGAGTGTGTGTGTGTGAGTGTCTGTGTGTGTGTCTGTGTGTGTGTGTGTGTGTGTGAGTGTCTGTGTGTGTGTGTGTCTGTGTGTGTGTGTGTGAGTGTCTGTGTGTGTGTCTGTGTGTGTGTGTGTGTGAGTGTCTGTGTGTGTGTCTCTGTGTGTGTGTGTCTGTGTGTGTGTGTGAGTGTCTGTGTGTGTGTCTCTGTGTGTCTGTGTGTGTGTGTCTGTGTGTGTGTGTCTGTGTATGTGTGTGTGTCTGTGTGTCTGTGTGTGTGTGTGTGTCTGTGTGTGTGTGTGTCTGTCTGTGTGTGTGTGTGAGTGTGTGTGTGAGTGTGTGTGTGTGTGAGTGTCTGTGTGTGTGTCTGTGTGTGTGTGTGTCTCTGTGTGTGTGTCTGTGTGTGTGTCTGTGTGTGTGTGTCTGTGTGTGTCTGTGTGTGTGTCTCTGTGTGTGTGTCTGTGTATGTGTCTGTATGTATGTGTGTGTGTCTGTGTATGTGTGTGTGTCTGTATGTATGTGTGTGTCTGTGTGTGTGTGTCTGTATGTATGTGTGTGTGTCTGTATGTGTGTGTGTGTCTGTGTGTGTGTGTGTGTGTGTGTGTGTGTGTGTCTGTGTGTGGGGAGGGGGGGATAGAAAGAGCCTCCAAGACCCCCCCCCCGCCCCCGCCCCATCCTGGCCTGAGGACCAGGCAGTTTCTCTAAAGGCCCCCGGGCTGTCTGCCGCCCGCCTGCGCGGAGGAGGGCTCGGCGGGTGGGGGGGGGAGGGCTCAGCGGGTCTGGGGGGGGAGGGCTCGGCAGGGTCTGGGGGGGGGAGGGCTCGGCGGGTCGGTGGGGTGGCTCGGCGGGTTGGGGGGGAGGGGGGGAGGGCTCGGCGGGTGGGGGGGGAGGAGGGCTCGGCGGGTGGGGGGGAGGGCTCGGCGGGTGGGGGGGGAGGGGGGGAGGGCTCGGCGGGTGGGGGGGGAGGAGGGCTCGGCGGGTGGGGGGGAGGGCTCGGCGGGTGGGGGGGGAGGGCTCGGCGGGTGGGGGGGAGGGCTCGGCGGGTGGGGGGGGAGGGGGGGAGGGCTCGGCGGGTGGGGGGGGAGGAGGGCTCGGCGGGTCGGGGTGGGGGGAGGGGGGGAGGGCTCGGTGGGTCGGGGTGGGGGGAGGGGGGGAGGGCTCGGCGGGTCGGGGTGGGGGGAGGGGGGGAGGGCTCGGCGGGTCGGGGGGGGAGGGCTCGGCGGGGTCCGGGGGGGGGGAGGGCTCGGCGGGTCGGTGGGGGGGCTCGGCGGGTTGGGGGTGGAGGGTTCGGCGGTGGGGGGGGGAGGGCTCGGCAGGGTCTGGGGGGGGAGGGCTCGGCGAGTCGGTGGGGGGGGCTCGGCGGGTTGGGGGTGGAGGGTTCGGCGGTGGGGTGGGGAGGGCTCGGCGGGTGGGGGGGGGCACAGCCCTCCCGCGCCGGCGCCTCACCTTGATGCCCTCGATGCGGAAGCCCAGGGTGGCGGTGGAGCTGATGGTCTCCCGCCACTGCATGTAGCGGGGCTTGGTGACGGCGCGCTGGGCGTGCTCCTCGGCCGTGGGCGCCGCGGGGTCCACCTCCACCATCTTCTGGTACATGTCCTTGCGCAGGCTGGGCTTCTTGCGCGCCTTCGTCAGCTCCTCCTCCAGGTAGGTCCTGGGGCGGGGCCGCGGTCAGGCCGGCGGGGCCCAGGCCCGGCCAGCCGCCCCGCACCCTCCCCGGGCAGGCTGCCCCCGCCCGCCCGCCCGCCCGCCCGCCCTGAGAGCCCCCGTGCCCCGCCCCCGCTCGGCTCACCTGATGCCCATCTTGCAGTCCATCACGCAGGGCGAGTCGAAGTCGGCCAGCAGGTCGTCCATCTGGTTGTAGCGCTCCCCGTCCTTGACCACGTCCCCGTGGTAGGCCGGCACGTAGGGCTTCAGCACGTCGGCCATCAGCCGGTCCAGGCAGCGCTGCTCCGACTCACAGTGCTTCTTCAGGATCCGGCCGTTGGCGGCCGCCTTGAAACTCCCTGCGGAGCGCGGGCCTCAGCGTGGGCGGGACGCCCACCCTCCCCACCCGCCCTGCCCCTCGGGGTCACAGGGCCCTGCCCCTCGGGGTCCCTCAGGGCCCTGCCCCTCGGGGTCCCTCAGGGCCCTGCCCCTCGGGGTCAGCGGAGCCCTGCCCCTCGGGGTCCCTCAGGGCCCTGCCCCTCGGGGTCACGGAGCTTGCTAAGAGCAGGGCCTCCCCGCTGCCCCCCCCCCCCCCGCCCCCTGCCCTCGGTGAGATTGCTAAGCGCAGCGCTGAGGCTGGGCGGACCTCCACTGTGGGCAGGGCATGGGGAGAGAAGTGGGTGCGAGCCCCAGACCCTGACACTGACAGCAACCCTGACCCCAGGCTTCCCCTGAGACCGAGGGCCGGTGCTCCCTGCTGGAGGGGCAGGGCCAGCGGCAGGTCAGTGCCTTCAGGGGGCCTCTAGGTGGTGCGTCCCTCCCCTAGCCGGGGCGGAGCAATGGGGGTACAGCAGGCGCCCAGTGAAGGCGCAGACGGTGCCTCGCTGTCCCGGATGGCAGATGGCGGGCCTGTCGCTTCCTCTGCCTCGCTGAGCTCAGAGACTAAGAGAACTGTAGACAGGGCCCGGGAAGGCACACGGGCATTTTCCTTAATTATCGTCAGCTGAACTCGGGGCGACAGGCAGAGCCACGCCCTGGGAATATGCTTCCCCAATAAGGCCGTTATCAGTTCTGACTTCCTATCAGCCCAGGTGTCTGCAGGGGCGGGATAGATACGTAAATCCAGGCAGCTAGGGTCTATTAAGAATGCAAAGAAGCCGGGGTACTTCCTGGTGTTGGGGGTGTAAAATAAACGCCTGGGAGGGGTTACCCTCCCGCCTCTCCATCCGAGAGAGTGGGGCCCACCCGGCTCCCAGCTTCCATCTATTTCTGCGCCTGCTTGCTTTCTTTCCATTATTTCTCAATCCCTGGCTCGTTCATCTCTCTTTCCACGCGGGACGTGGAAAGGGAGGTCCCCGCCACGTCTGGCCCCCGAAAAGAACCAAGGCCGGGTGCGTGTTGGGGAGGGGGTGGCAGCTGGCGGTGCACCTGCTGGCAGCGTTAGGGCCCCATCTCAGGAGTACGGCAGCGGCTGCCACTGCGAGCCTCAGAGAGCCCGATGGGTCCCTCTCACCCCCCAACCCCCAAGCACTCCCCGCGCTGGGCGACCCCCAGGGAGAGCCCAGGACCGCTACCTGCGTGCCCCGCCAGCTGGATCCAGGGGTACTTCTTCTTGAAGGACATGACGAAGGGGGACCAGTGCACCATGTTCTTTATCTTCCGCCATGATTTGCTCTGAAACAAGCCAACGAGAAGCTGGGCGTTAGAGCGAGAACAGCCTCCTGTTAGGGTGCGTGCGCTCAGAGCTGGGCCAGCGCCGTGGCCTGAGAGAGGGCACACCCACAGCGCCCACAGTGCCCACAGCACCCACAGCGCAGGGCCTCGCCTGTCATGGGGGCTGTGTCAGGGCCCAGAAGCCAGGGGGCCTCCACGGAGAAGGTTTCGGGGTGTGAAGGGGGACAGGGTGGTCTCCATCCCGGGCTGACCTCATCCCGGGCCACCCCGTCAGGGAAGGTCTGAGCTCACACTGCCCCTCCCCACTCCTCTGGCCTCAGTCTCTCACATCGGGAGGGAGGACAGCTGTCCCCAGGCTCCTTGGCCTGATGGACACGGGGACCCTGAAAATGACGTCTACGGTCCATCAGCCACGGCCACTCAGAGGGAGACCGGAGGCCACGGTCGCCCCCTCCTCTGTCCCTCACACATCACTGTGTGCGCAGGAACCACAGGCGCCTCCTGCTGGCGAGCGGTATGAGGAGCGGTTTAAGGGGAGCTCCTGGCACCTGTGGTAAGCAGCCTGGGTCTCTCTCTTCAGGCCGGGTGCTCATACATGAGTGTGTGTGCGCATGTGTATGCCTGTATGTGCATGTGTGTGCACGTGTGTGTGCGTGCACACACACGTGAGCGAGTGTATAGGAGCGGCTCCGTGGGCAGAAAGGAGAACTAACATTCACCAAACACCTTCCTTCCCAACAAGCAATATGGTCATTTGTGGAACCCGAGCCACAGAGAAGCCGGCGGTGAAACGGGCACTGAAACCCTCACCTAGAGAGAACCAAGATGGCGGCCTAGGCAAGCACCTAGGCTGCCGCCTCGCACAACAATTTCAAAGCAACAACTAAAATCAGAACGGACATCATCCAAAACCGCAGGAAAGCTGGCCGAGTGGGAAATCTACAACCAGAAAGAAGGAGAGGCTCACGGATCGGACGCTGAGGTAGGGAGATGCTCGTGCGCAGAGAGGAAGGGCGGCCGAGTGCCTGGCTGGCAGGAGGGGAAAGGAAGTCCCCGATTGCACCGAACCCCAGTTCTGACTGCACTGAACCCCAACCCCGGCCGAAACCCGTGGACCCAGGCTCGTACGGGTGGAGTCTGGACTGTAGAGAAAGGCACCCAGAGACGGGGGAGCCGGGAGCCGCAGTGGGCAGGGTCAACAGTCGCTCGCGAGTGTGCACAGAGAGGTCTGACAGCGGAGGCTGCCGCAGCCTCTCCACGGCAGAAGGAGTCGGAAGCTCCGGACTACAGAGACCCAACCAATTCTGGGCGAGCCCCTGGGACACCCATGTTCTTGCACGGGGAATCTGGGCCCGTCAGGTGGGAACTCAGGTTAGCGCACAAGGGCAGGGCTGACAGGAAGCCAAGACTGTCAGCTCAGCCCCGAGACTCCGCCCCATCCAAGCTGAGCACAGAGGCTTTTGCAATTTTGCAAGTCTGATCCTATAAGACTGTCTCCAATACAGAAGGTATCCCAGAGTAGATACAGCTGATACTCACATCCAATTGGCCTGAAGGTCAATTCCTCCCAGGGATACCAACAACAATCAAGACTTAACTACAACAAGGCTGTACACGCAGTACACAAAGGGGAGCACCAAGAGTGTCTACCTCAGGTAACTGTGGAGGCTGACCCACCAGGCCATATAGGACACCGAACACACAAAGCCACCCTACCAACTCATGGAAGCAGTGAAAATGAGGAGTCAGGGAAACAGATCTCAAACGAAAGAGATGGAGAACAAGAGACTGGATATAGGGTTCAAAATCAGGATTATAAAGTTTTTCAAGAATTTCCTAGAAAAGGCCGATACATTTAATGAGACCCAGCTAAAAATTAAACATAAACTGCCTGAAATAAAAAATATTATACAGAGACCCAACAGCAGACTGGAGGAACACAAGAATCAAGTCAAAGATTTGGAATGCAAAGAGCCAAAGGACACTCCCCTGGAGAAGCAAGAAGAAAAGAGAATCCAGAAAGTTGAAGATAGTGTAAGGAGCCTCTGGGACAACTTCAAACGTACCAACATCAGAATTATGGGGGTGCCAGACGAAGAGAGAGGGCAGGACACTGAAAACCTATTTGAAGAAATAATGTCAGAAAACTTCCCCCACCTGGTGAAAGAAATAAGACTTACAAGAACAGGAAGCGCACAGAACCCCACACAAGAGGACCTGAGCCCACTGAGGGCCTGAGGGGGGTCAGGCGGCCCCTCAGGTTCACGGGCTCGGAGGGCCCAGCTCCACGGCCTCGGTGGCTGCACACGGGGTGAGCACCGGTGCTTCCTGCTGGTCTGGAGCAGCCCTGCTCCTGCTTTAAGAGGGAGTCCTCCCTGCACCCCTCCCTCCAGCAGCTCAGGAGGGAGAACCAGCAAACAGCCAGGCGGGGCGTGCGTGCGTGTGTGTGTGTGTGCGTGCGCGTGCGTGCGTGTGTGCGTGCGTGCGTGTGTGTGTGTGTGTGCGTGCGCGTGCGTGCGTGCGTGCGTGCGTGCGTGTGTGTGTGTGTGTGTGTGTCCTTGAGGACCAGGCGGCCTGGAGGTGCCTGGGGTTCTGGCTGCTTGGACACCCCCACCCCCCAAAACTGATTCGACAGGCGCTGCCCATCCAGAGGAGTGGACGGAGGCTGCTCGTGGGGGGAAATCCTGCAACACGGAGACCAGCCCTCCTCGCTCGGAGGAGACAGAAGTCTCAGGGAAGGTGCGTTCCAGACACGGGCGCTGTCCCCGGCCTCCAACGGCCCGTCTGTCGCCACGGCTGCCGGCCCGGTCCTGCCGGGAGGGCCGGCACCGTGGGAGGCGCGGGCAGGAGCCACCCAGACCAGGGAGGCCCCGGGCAGTGTCTGGTGCTGCCGGTTTGTTTAACCCGATTCAGGGCCTCGTCCATTCGCGGCTCCCTCACGGCTCCGGGGACACCCCCTCGGGCTCGGGGAGGTCGCTTAGACCAGAAATGGCCTGGACAGTGACCTCCATGCGGCCTGTGTCTTCGATCAAACAGGCCCGGAGGACGGGGAGGGAGAGGAGAGGAGGGCCCGGCTGGGCCTTGGGCCCAGGGCCGCCCACCCACTGGGCTCCAGACGGGCAGGACCCTGTGTGGCATCAAGTGGGAGCGCGTGTCCGAGTCCCACACCAGGCGAGACGCCCAGGCGGGGACGGCAGAGCAGGACCCCCGTGGGGACCCCCAGCTCTCGCCCCAGGACTCCGGCCCAGTGCCCGTGGGACCGGCCCTGCAGGGGCTGGCTCTGCCGCCGGCTCTCTGCCCATGGCCACGGCCTCCCCGCTGTGCTCAGGGCTGGGGCAGGGCCCACGGGCCCCCGGCCGCCCTCCGAGAGGGCCCCCCGCCTTCAGCCCTCTCTCCTCCACCTCCGCACGCCCTCCCGGGCCTGGCCTCCTCCCTTCTCACCCGGGAGGAGGAGAGGAGCGGTGCCAGCCCCGCTCCCCGACGGGACCGCACGGAGAGCCGCCCAGGCCCAGCGCCGTCTCCTCACGCAGCCACGGCGCCCGGGGGTCTGCTCCGTCTCTCCAGCCACCGCCTGCCCCCGCCTGACCGCACGCGTGTTCGTCCACCAAGTCCGGGAGAGGAGGGAAGAAGGAGGGACATGGGGACAGACTCCTCTGTGAGGATCACCTCACCCACCGCAGGACGTCACCACGCCACGTGTCTGCACGCACGCACACACACACACACGCAGGACATGAGATCCCACACATGCAGCCGTGAGACCCCACACGCAGGCACTGAGACCCCCCCACGCACACGCGGGCCGTGAGACCCCGCACAGACGCCAGGCAGAGTGTCCACAGGGACCCCAGGAGAACGGCCACGGAGGCACAGGACAGCTCAGCCCTCCCCCAGCGCCTCCTCTGCCCCGATGCCCCTCCCACCGCGCCCCGGCTACACCTGCACCCCGTTCTGATCTGTGGTGCCAGCACCCAGAGCCGGGCCCGCACCCGGCCCCCCGGCTGGTCCCCAAGAGGCCGCACCAACAGCCCCGCACGTGGCAGGTGCATGGGGGCGGGTCTGCCATCGGGCGCCGGGTCAGAGCCCCGGAGCAAGTTCCAGGCAGGGGGGGCTCGCTCAGGTCTCCCCGGAGCCACACGCCTGTCCTGACAGCCCCCTGAGCTGCCGCCGGAGACGGCCCTGCCACGGCCCTGACCCTACGGCTGAAGCAGCACCCTCTCCCTGCCGGGGTTCTGTCCAAGCCCCTGCCTCGGAGCCGTGTGCAGAGCCAGGAGCGGAGCAGCCGGGGTCCGCTCCCCCCCCCCCCCGGAGTTCCCCCGCCCGCCCCCGGAGCCACAGTGCGAACCGACGAGGCAATACCAGCCGCTCGTCTGTGACCGCTCGTCTTCCCTATGTGTGTGTTTTAAAGATTTTTATATATATATATATTTTTTAATTTTTAAAAAATATTTTTTACTGATTTTTTCATAGAGAGGAAGGGAGAGGGAGAGTGAGTTAGAAACATTGATGAGAGAGAATCATCGACCAGCTGCCTCCTGCACACACACACACACACACACACACACACCCCTAGCTGGGTGAGCTAGGCGAGCTGGGTGAGCAGGAGCTGGGTGAGCTGGGTGAGCTGGGTGAGCAGGAGCTGGGTGAGCTGGGTGAGCTGGGTGAGCGGGAGCTGGGTGAGCTGGGTGAGCTGGGTGTGCGGGAGCTGGGCGTGAAGGAGCTGGGTGAGCTGGGTGAGCGGGAGCTGGGTGAGCGGGAGCTGGGTGAGCTGGGTGAGCAGGAGCTGGGTGAGCGGGAGCTGGGTGAGCTGGGTGAGCAGGAGCTGGGTGAGCGGGAGCTGGGTGAGCTGGGTGAGCGGGAGCTGGGTGAGCTGGGTGAGCTGGGTGAGCAGGAGCTGGGTGAGCGGGAGCTGGGTGAGCGGGAGCTGGGCGTGAAGGAGCTGGGTGAGCTGGGTGAGCTGGGTGAGCAGGAGC